CAGGTACAGTACTTGGAGGTTCATGGGTAGTTATAAGTAGGGTTATAAGTCCCCGAATATGGGTTATAATTATAGTTACCCTACTTATAACCCCATTTATAACTACCCATGAACCTCCAAGTATGGGCTGGGTCACTCAGGCAAAGCGCCTCTGCCAGACTTTGCCGAACTCTATGCAAGTGCAGCATGCCCGTGCTTGGAGCTGCCATGCGCTTCGCAAACCCAAAACTTACGAGGTCGCAGCAAAAGAGTAGGTCGCGGTGGCAGAGGTACCATATGCACATGCATGCGCATACGTAGACTCCCATGATCAAAAACTTGAATCTGCGCGTGGAGATGGATAGATAGGTAGACAGACAGAAAGACACACAGACAGATGGACAGACACACAGATAGATAGCTAAATAGATTGATGGATGGCTAGATAGATCGATAGATACATAGATATATATAGATAGTTAGATAGATAGGTGGATAGATAGACAGATAGACAGATAGATCGATAAAAAGGCAGATAGATAGATAGATAGATAGATAGATGGATAAACAGATCGAAAGATAGATAAATAAATAGGTCGACAGACAGACAGACAGACAGACAGACAGACAGACAGACAGACAGACAGACAGACAGACAGACAGACAGATATTATGTTGCCATGTATGTATGTACATATACACATAGTATGTTAGAGGTTTTATATGCATGTGTACATACATTGGTGCTTACCAAATTCAATTCCCTCAAACTGACACCTTGCCCCTGTCCACATACGACGGCATCGGGGCTTCAACCGATCTGGCAGAATCTGCTCACAACGTTAGCTAAGGTGACATTTCCGGAGTGGGCGGCGGGCCATCTTTTGCTTCGCAAGGCGTCAGCTTCTTACCGCAAAAGCGCTTCCTCCTGCCAGCCTCTCGAAAGCCTTCAGCAGGTCGCACTGACTGAATAGATTCCTACTTTCAAACGCAGAGGTCCAAGCACGGTAAAGGTCATCACCTTCCTGCCAGGACTCGCATTTGAAGCTATTGGTAATGCCAGCGTTTTGCTGATCTGAGAGGGTACGGCAGCAGCTGGTGATCAGCTGCCGGGCATACTCACAAGCCTGCACTTGAACTCGTGTGCATCCTGTCCCTCGATGAAGCTTCGCCGCTTCAAGGCATAGATTCTACGCAGCCGGAGGGTTCCATGAGGAAGACTCCTTCAGCTTCACAATAACCACGGTCATGTTGTCCGTGCCAAGTCCCTGGGTCTTGCTCGGGTCCTGAGGTGGAGCCACGACACATCAGGCAATTGCATTGCCGCGTTCTACTCGTCTACGCACACTGAAGTTCTACTGCCTGACAGCCCTCTCCACGTGTCCTCGGAACAACAATGCTCCAATAGCTCCTCTGCGATGGCCTTTAGCTCCAAGCCTTTTTCCTCAGCTCCGCCCCAGAGTGTGCAACCAAAGACACTGAACCCTCATGAACCCTCCTGCAGAATCTGATCAAGGGGGTCTTCGGTTCTTTGGTTTGACTAAGCATGTGCGGCACAAGTCTCGAGCCTTGGCCTCACAAAGTCGCAAATGTCCTGAGAAATTTGCACGGTCTTGGCGGGATTTGTGTACTACTTGTGTACTTCTGTATCCCTCACTGGATGATTCGCTCGATGCTGCAGCTTTCGGACACTTAAGCCGATCCTGATCAGATGCCTATCCGGTGGCATGCCCGCCGGCCTGGTTGGACATGACATCCCAAATGCCGTCGCCTCCGCCATTTCGTGTCCGAGCAAGACCAAGTATTCTAGTATTCCATACCAGCAAACAATAGTCAAACCATGCGCGGTTTTGTCAGGCTGCCATCAACAAGGTCTAGGCTGACAGGGACACGACTTAAGTTCTGAACCCTGACCAATCCACGTTTGACTCTGGGCTGCAGTTCAGTCACATGCCAGAACGATGAACTCATCTTCCGCCGTCAAGTCGCGAACCACCACATCCGGGGTGGAGCATATCACTTGCTCCTGAAACGCGCCGCAGGTCACATAAATTTCACTTGTTGCTCATTGCCGGTACCGGTAGAAACAAGCTGCTGCTAGCTACTGCTGCCGACTGAAGGATGGGCCTGCGGAGGCAGGTCGGTTCGCCTTTGTACAATGTGATAGAGAGATACTTGCAGAGTCAGAACCCAAGAGATGGCAGAAAGCAACTCGCCAGGACACTTCTTGTACTCCAGATCGCCAATGGCACGGCTGAGATTCAAATTTCCGTTCACGCGGGGAACACCTTGACTGTCCTGGACGGGCTTCAACGGGCAACTTGGAGGTTCATGGGTACTTATAAGTGTGGTTATAATGTTATTATACGTCCCCTAATATGGGCTATAATTATACTTACCCTACTTATAACCCCATTTATAACTACCCCTGAACCTCCAAGTAGGAACCTGATTAAGAAACCCTGGCCCCTATAACCCTAACATATTAGGGGACTTATAACCCTACTTATAACTACCCATGAACCTCCAAGTAGAGCAGCAAAGACAGGGAATCCGAAGCAGAGCGCAGAGCTCTGGCCTCCACGGTGCCGCCTGCGGCCTCGATCCGGCTCTTTTCGGTCTCAGATGCAGGCCTTGGAAGCTAAGTGAGAGCCATATATATATATATAACTATATATATATATAATATACATATTTATTTATATAAGTATATATATATATATATCAGCTGAGACAGCAGAGGGACAAAAAAGACGCTTGGCCGAGAAGCTTGTGGTCGTAGGAAAGCTCCAGTGCTTTCCCAGCCCGGCACATCACTGCACGGCTGTCCCCGGCGTTTGCTGTTATCACATCCTGCCAGGAGACAGTCCATCGCAACCCTGGCATATGGGAGCGTCGTCACTATACCCTGAGGCGAGAAATTCTGAGATCCTTTCTTCCCACTCGCCCAGCTGACCAAGTCGCACAAAGTTGGAGTTTTACAGATGTATTTCGATTGTCCTGCTGCTTCGGCTTACGTGGGCGGGGCCTACAGTACCTGGCAAACGTACATGTTACGAAATGCAGCTGGTCAGAAAGCTGGTCTGCATCGCACATCTCACAAAATACAGTTGGTCAGAAAGCTGGTCTGCATTGCTACCTGCGAACTGCCCCTCTTATCCCGCTTCCCAAGTTCCAAACAGCGGGTGACCCTTTGGAGTAGGTCGGAGTAAACAGGATCTGGTTAGGCGGTGCGGCGCGGCGGACACGGGCCCGTCCCGGATGAATCGTGCTCTGCCGTGGGTATTTTGGTGTGTTTGCGATGGAAAATGATGGAATTCGTGCTCCAGACACTCTCACTTGCAATGCGTTCCCCCCTAAAGTTCTAGCAGGGCCACACTATTCTCCCCTCCTGAGGGCCGTAGGGTTTGGCGAAATCTTCAATCGTTATGTCTTTTCGTCATAGTCACAGAGTTGTCCGTATTTTGGGGTGCGTACGCTCTTCAGTCTCGTGCGCTTTCAGATGTGGACCGCTGCGTCTGCTAGGTGCTCTGAAGGCTTTCGAGGCTTATTCGAGCAGTGCCCGAACATACTACTGTCTCGGTGAGCCATGTCGCTGCAGATGCGGCCATAATCATGTGTTCCCGGCTTGTGATAGCTGGGGGAAGTGACTGAACTGTTACGAGTACGAGTGCAGAGCTGGAGACAGGGACAAGTCCTGCTTGCGAACCACGACGCACACGGCCGTGCAGCCCACTGTATCCGGAACAAACTCATCCTCAACGGAAGGCAAGCAGCTGAACTTCGCTGCTCGGGACGTTCGTGCTTGCTGCCATATCGACTGGAGCTGCGATACTGTTGAGGGCGCCACACCCTTCTCTGCCTGCTTGAGTTTCTGCAACTTGATGAACGACTCCTTCATTTCACTGTGCTCCTGACAGCTGGGGTGTTGACACCCTAAATACAAAGAGCAGATGCGCAGTAGCTTGATACACTAATGCAGCTGAAGATCTCCGTCCAACAGTTTTCCTGTCCTTACTGGCAGGAAGAGACAAGCTGAACTGTCGGCGCGTCTGCATGGTCTGCCCTGATAGGGTTTAGGGTTTAGGGTTTAGGGTTTAGGATGGTCTGCCCTGACTGTTGCGAAACGACTTCTGGCCGCTCCAACTGCAATGCGGGAGTCTGAGAGCGCTGGTGCATGTTAGCGATCTTCTTCTCCAACTCCTCTCCAAGTCATGTTGACTTCACTAGGTCACGCAAACCAGCGGCATGATGACCTTTCGCGTGAGTCTACATCTACGCAGTATTTCGATGCGGGTCTGCATTCCTGGATGGCGCCCGTCGGAACTTTGCCCATAAAACGTGCCAGCACCTTTCAACATTCTGAAGTTCGTCGGTTGTCCACAAGCTTTTTCAAGTTGCATGTTCTTGCAAAAGGTGCCTTTGCAAGATTGCAGGGTCCCTTGTGCGACAAACCGCAGCGCTTGTCTACACTCACAATGGTACTGTACCAATCACTTCGTGCATATGTCCATGGCATGCTTCCCAGTGGCCTTCGCATTGGCTGGCTCGCGCAGTTGATCGTCCATTCTGTGAAACGAGGCCTGGTGTTCTGATACCCTCACAGCCTTTCTTCCATTGACGGGCAGTTTGCAGACTTTGCCTTGAGGATTTCTTCCAAATCTGACGCTTCCAGATGGACGCCGCAATGGCGCTTCTTGTTCTGACAAGGCATCGAACTCAGGTGATTGCAGTTGATTTCCCAGTTGCGCTGTTGAGATGAGCCCGGGACCTTGTTCTTGCCGAACTTGGACCGCCCCATGCTTGCCGTGGTCTGGATGAGCTCAGGCATGAATTGCTGCCTCAATTGCGAAGCTCCTGATTCAACGCGCAAGAAGCACCATCAAACGACAGTACATAAAGGGACTGCCGCACCAAGCTGCTTGCAAAACTTTGAGACAGCCTTGCCACCTCGGTCCCGCACTTGGAGGTTACTGACTGTCAAGCCTGACTCCACGGTTGTCGTTGCTGTTGCTGTTCTTGTTGCTTTATAGGCCTTTGCTGTTGCAGTATTTGTAGTCGTGGTTGTCGCTGTTGCTGTAGTTCTCGTCGTCGTCGTGATCTCGGCATCCGGCGAGGTGCCCCTATGGCAACATAGGGGCTTAGCAGGCTGCAAAAAGCTGCCGCTGATGTGAGCTAAGCCGCCGTGGCCATCGAAAACACAGTAAACGCCACAGCCTGCAAACCTCAGTGCCGTTGCTGCCATGGCTGAAGCTGAAAAAGAAAAGACGAGAAAAGGCCGAAGTCTGGGGCTCGCGACTCTTCTCCGACGTTAGAGCTTGCGATGTGCTCGTCCTCCATATCTGGTCTCCAGCCCTGCATATCTGCTGCTACCCATTCCATCCGCTCATCGCCTGTGCACAGGCGCGCTTCACACCGGTTCGGGCTCCACAGATATTTGGACAGCGGCCGCTGGTCGTGGCCCCTGCCCTGGAGCCCTTCTAAAACCCCGAACCCCTCGAGCCTCCCGTGTCAATCCGCTTCTCTTTCAAAGGCTTGTCGAGTAGGCCGCCCATTGCGCGCAATAATTCAATAATCCGAACTCTGGCAGTGCGGTGGCACGTTGACATGGCTTCCTGGTGCTGGGTGTTGCTCGCTGCTGCAACACACACCTACGGAAAATGTACAGATGGTCATGGTCAGGAAATTGACACAACATTCAAGTCTGTGGGAAGTGTTTGAACCGAACAGCAGCTTCAACGGAAGCATCGATACATGCTGTCAAGACGAAGGCATCTCTTCATGCGAAAGCGGTGCAAGTGGTGACCTCGGCGTCAGTCGCCATGACGCCATGGCTTCGCCAGCATCAAGGCCTATGCCACATGTCAAAAGTGCCAGAACCGCACAATCCTCTGTCTTGCGGTCTTGGGCTTGCCGATGACACAGCTGAAACCACCTGAAACCAATCATCTAGTTGCAAACAGTTGCAAGTTTTTCTGCCGAAGTAACAACATGTAGCCTTCTCGGGTCACAGTTAGCCTCAAACACACGGGCTCAAGCGGAGTCTACTTTGTCGTCATCGGGCATCTTGTTCGTTTTGGATGTTTGCGCACAGCACCCAAGAAAATCGGGCAATCTGCGGGCTTTGAGTGCTCCGCGATCCGCGCCTGTGAGATCCTGTGAGCTACAAACTACCATCGCCGCCCTCGCCCCCGCCCTCGCCCTCGGCCGCGTCTCCGTTTCCTGTCATCTCTTGAATCATCCTCGCGATTGCTCTCCTGTCCGGTGCCAGAAGGACCGGCATAGCGCCAAAAGCTGCCGTTTCGCAGCTCCATGCGAGGGTCGCCATCGGAGGGCCGGAAGGACATGTTATATCTGGGAAGCAAAAGGAGGTTTCGCGGACCGTGTGCACCGTCATTCACCTTGACGTTCACACGTCTCGTTACCCTGACCGTTTCGTTCGTGCTCGGGACCAGGGCGTCAAACTCACCCATGGTCCGGACAAACAAACTGCCGTAGGCCTGATGAGGCTTCAAAGGCAACAGCCCAGCTTTGTGAAGCCATTTAAGCTTTTCAGAGAAATCGCTGCGAACCACCTCTATCGGAGCACCGGCATGATGTGCGCCATCTTGGACACAATTGACGCTGCAATCAAAGGCACGCCACAGCATCAAGGCAAGGGCATCCTGTAAAGAATCGAACTCTCCCACTCTGCAGTCGAAATGTGCAATGATGTCGTCAGGGAGCTGCAGCCCACGCTCCTCTGCCATCTGTGCTAACTTGCGATTGAACAAGGCGGTGACGACGCTGGCACCGATGCTCAGCCATTTCTGGACCCGGCCCCCATGAGGCCAGTCCCGTGCCGCTCCAGCGGCTGTTGTGAGACGTGGGGTGAGCAAAATCGTCATCTCGTCGCTGTGGGTGTAAGCTAAGTTGCCTTTGAACTCATCCAGCATGGCTCGGCAGCAAAGCTGCATGATTTCACCGAGGTCATCCGAATAGCCCGGTCCGATCAAACCAGCCTCTCTGATGCGCTTGGTCAGAGTACCAAACATGCAGCCATCCAGGCGGATTGTCACCCACTTGTCGCCATGTAGTGACTTTGGTGTCTCGAATGCCGTGACCAACCTTCCCAACTCTTGCCAAGCGGGTCGAGGTGTCGGCGGTCCAACTTCGTGCAACTCTGGAGGGATATCCACACTGGCTGGCTCGCGGTCGGCTAGAAGATTCCAGAGTTGCTCATACTTCTGTGCCAATCCGCCTGTACCGTGGGATCTTCCCACTTCCGGAGGTATGTCCTTCGTCGCTTTCGTCAAGTCTCGAGCTCTTCGCTTCACCGTCCCAGCTTGCCGCCTCCCAGACCGGATACTTCGGGTTGAAAGTAGGGTAAGTATAATTACAACCCAAATTAGGCGACTTATAACCATACTTATAACTACCCATGAACCTCCAAGTAGCTCCTGCATCAGCAAAAACAAGGGCCGTCGGTCGGCTGAATCGCAGGGCCAAGACGACGCTCAAGGCCAGCAGCAACGTGTGGGTGCAAGCCCTACCATGGCTTCTGCAACGGAGACCTTGCATCTGCGGCTCCCTGCTACTATTAACTATTATACCCTAAGAACCCCAAACCCATTTTTTGTAGGTTCTAATTGTAAACCCTAGTATGGGAATTATAGGGACCCTACACAAAAGTAGGTTTTGGGTTCTTAAGGTAGCTATTATAACTATTATCTCTATAATGTCGTGCTTTCAGACTTGCTACAATACGCACTGGGGCTACACCGCATCCATGGAACTCGCTCCATTTGAGATTTGATGGTGCGCTTCGGCATGTGTATTCGAGCAGCTTTAACGGGACCGAACCAGCATGTGTAGTCTGAGCATAGTGTAGTCTCTGACACAACTGCGGCTTATCGGCATGCACCGGGTGTTGTCGAGCAATCCTTTTCGGACTACAATTGCGCAGCCGCTGTGGCCACGTACGTCCTGACCAGCACACTTGCCACCCTGCTGATTCTGAGGGAGTGAAGAGTAGTAATTCTGTAGGTTTGGTCCTGACCCAGCGGAAGTCGATGTCATCCCAAGCATCATCCCATGCACTCAACGATTCCTGGTCACAGAATGAGAATGTCTGCATCTCTGATTTCACATCGACTGAACAAGGTTTGGACAGTTGGCAGTATGCTGCCGATTGGCAGAATCAGAAGTACCAATGTTATCTGTTATCTCCAACAACTGAAGAACAACGACTTGTGAGAGAGATTTCGAAGTCCGTAGAACTCCGCGCATTTCCACCGTGGGTTGGCGAATGGAGGAATCTTATACTGGTTTTGGAATTCGACGTCTGGCCTGCTACTTCTTCTCTTCACCATGTCACCAGGTGATGTTCCCAAGTTTCTTTGTGAAGATCACACTATACATTTCAAAAAGCACGCCTTGTGTGCAGGGATTGGAACCGCAGGCAACAGGTGACAAAGACGTATCATCGCGCATAGCCCCCCTCCCCTCCCCCCGCTGGAGACCCTGGCCTTTTGTGTCTTTGTAGAGGGAAAGACAACATACTTGCTTTCGGCCCCAGCGAGGCACACGCTGTCAAAAACCATCAAGTTAAGGATGCCAGCATTTGCCATGGCTGCGGTACAGAAGCAAAATCCAGCAGAAGCACGAATCAAATCTTCAACCGCAGTGGCACTTCCAGCCCGTGTGCCTCACTCTCGAGATGGACGCCGCATGCCTCCTCGAGTGTTTCGAAGAACTGCGCGTCGGTCACCTCCACAAAACTTTTCCATGAAACACAAGACTCTACTGCGAGATGGCGAAGGGGTGAGACACCTCTGCACCGTCACGATGCTGATAAGCAAAGACCTCTCATTAAGCCCATGAAGCTCTAAACAATTGATATCTGCATATATCTGGCATGAAGAGCAGTCAGAGAAGAATCGCATCCGAGGCAGGGACAACTCGGCCTCCCGGTCGCGCCAGCACGCGCTTCAACACGGCTTGCAAAGACTGCCAAACCTTCAACGCAGGTCACTCTTCGCGCTGCGCCCAGATCGCATTCAAGAACGGCTAGAGTTCCTTTCTGAGTCTGTGACAGAGGACAGGCTTGCTACCGTTTTGCTGCACAACAACTACTGCTGAGACATCCTTATCTTTGTCAAGGCTTACTTAATCATTTAATCTAACTTCGCCGTGCTGCAACCCACTACTGTAGCCGTTGGTTTGCGCAAACCTGTGCAAACTGCATCATGCACCATAGCGACGCGCCTGCTGAGGCTGCTGGTAAACCACTTCACAGCAAAGAACCAGATCGAAGTGACCTGGACATATCCCAAAGAGCTAAACACAAGCTTCTCTCGCCGCAGTGGCTCAGCGGCTAAGCCAAGCAGCGCTCGTCCCTGGCCTCGTTCTTGGACCAGGGCCTCGGCTTCAGCCTCCCCCCAAAGAAGAGGCCGGACCTCTGCATCAATCGCAAACTCAAGCTGATGTCATCCTATGTCGAGACCGTGGGCACTCTTCAGACACCAGCAATGGCTTCTCCGGCTTGTGTTTCGGCTGGATCCGCCTTACACAGGGAACTGTCACCGTTACCACCAGATTGGAGAAAGCCGTGCACAAGCCTTTCTGGTCGCATCAGGGAGGCAATGCAAGGCCACGTTCCTGAGAAATTTGTGTAGGCTTGCGCTCTGCATCAGCACTGAGGACTTTCATTGGCCAAGGCTACCTACCAAGATGTGAAAAAGGTAATGACCCAAAACATCAAAACTCTTCATCTCGCCTGGACAACAAGGGGATAACGCGGGGCACGTCGGTGAAGGTGACCTGCAATAATGATGGGTCGGCATGACAAAGTATTCCATACTCAAAAGTGCACCGAGCGAGTGAGCCAGGCCGCTGGCGCTCTTTGCTCCCATCCCTGGTTGGGTTTCGACTCTCACACTCGCACCAGGCCGGCAAGGCTCCTATGTTTAGGGCTTAGGGCCTTAGGGTTTACACTCTCACAACTCGGACAAGCCAGGCGAGGATCCATAGGTGCATAGGTCGGAGTGATACAAAGCCGACTGGAAAGTTTTCTTTATCACCTCTTTTCCTTCTGCCTGAACGGTGTCCAAAATACCATGGTGATGGAGTGTTTCGACTCTCACACTCGCACAAGGCCGGCAAGGCTCCACACAGTTCTGTCTCCACGCTTCTACAGATTGAGCCGAGGGCATCAGCAACTGCATACCAGGAGGCTAGGTAGCAGTAAACAAAGGAGGAATGCATCAGGGAATACGACAGATAAAGCAGTTAGGGTTTATGACACGCAAAATCAGAAACAGCGCCTGCCAACTCACGGAGGCAGGATGAGCATTGGCCAATCGGCTGGACCACACCACAATGAAGTGAGCATTGAAAGGGGGCATAGACAGGCGGCATATTGGCATAAGTTCAGACGGGACGCGATGCACCACGAGCCCGACGAGGCCGGTCCCGGCTCCTACATCTAGAGCTCGCGTACCTGGCCAAACAGGTAATACAGAGAGGGTTAAAAAAAACCGGGTTTATCAAAGAGGGCTTTTATAAAAAAAACCCTCTTGTCACCGAGCGACTGGTTATAGCCAAGTGACCTTCCAAGCCGTGCTTCTCGCCTCGATTCTGAGTTGGCATGAGTTGGCTGGAAAACAGCTTCTGCGATCGTGCTAGAACGTGGGAGCGGGAAATTACCGGACCGATACATTGCAAACTCCACGAGCTACCAGTAGCAACATTCAGGGAAAGGAAGCATGGCATGCATCCAATGCAGTTTCCCCGTCAGCAAATACTCTCACAAGAAGTGCCCAACAGTCAGCAGATACTCTCACAAGAAGTGCCCAATCTGCGAATCCAAGTCACCCCTTAAGTGATCTCCTACCACGAATGCTTGGCATTGACGAGTGCTAGCTTGGGCAAGCAACCGCTGCGTTTGCTCTACAAGTACGGTTTCTCTCGGCAACCTTGCGGACGTTTGTGAATTCGGGCGCGGCGTTTGGTGGATATGCAAACGACAAATATGTCGAGAAGTACAATCCAAGGCATGTGTATCTATGTGTATATATATATAGATACCTACACCATCTGTATATAATACATACATACGTGTGTGTACATGACTGTACAGAAGAAGTGCATCATACAAGATACTCAACAGAACGTTCCTACTTCTCGGCCGCGTGGCAGATGTATCTGCTGAAGGCCACCGCTGTGGGCCAGACCTGATCTGAACTGCCCAACAAGCACCATCGACTAATGCAGGGCTGAGCGAAAGACCAAGTCTCCGGTGTAGTCTGTTGCTAACGGATCTTTCGGCTGCCGCCGCCGTTCTGACACCTTGGCCGAGTCGTTCAGGCCTAGTCCTGCTTGGCACTGCCCCTAACTTCGTACTCAGGTCACGATCTCCGCATCTCTGCAGCTGCAGCGCTGAAACAGCCACACCCTTGTGCGAGAAGTGGAACATACGTGTTTCCTCAAAGTCGTTCAGCTAGGCGCGACAGTGTATGCCGTGAGTGCTTCAAGGGTCCTCATTCTCCGATGGCGTGAGCTCTGGGTTGTTGGTCATCTGGCCAGACATGCCGGTGTTGCCTCGAGCAGAAGGCTCGAAACGACCTGCATCCTGCGGCGCGAGACCGAGCTTGGGAAAGCCTCCGCCACCCCAGAAGTGCCAAAGCTGTGAAGCATCCTCCGGCGGAGGTTCCACCTGGTAATTGCGGTTTTGCTGAGGCGAGATTGTCTTATTCATGGTGCTATCTACCAGCATTATGTATCATTATGTACTCCTCGGTTACATGTGTTAGAAACAATAAGCTAGGGCAGCATGTACGCCCATGTTGAACTGCACGCTTTGTTCTGCTTGCTCATGCATAAAGATCACCCATTCTACGCATATTCGCGTGATCGCATGTGCATTCCCCAATGCGCCGTGCGACAGAAACGGCCAAGTACAACTCCGACTGCGACGGTGACTTATGTTGTTCGCAGTTGGGCAAGGTTCCTGGACGAGCGGTGTGGCCCATGTCACCCACGGCCACGAATCTCTTTGTTGCAACATCTGCGCCAGCCACCGAAGTGGATGCGGGACGAGGCAAGCAAAGGTCTAATGTTGATCTGAGCAAAACCTGTTAACAGTGTTTGTACGTGATGTTGCCGTTGTGTTGGCACCGGAGGTTTGCCCCCAATTACAGAGTTTGATCTCGATTCATTCTGCCGCTGTAGTTTCGGCTGCTGAAGTATCCACACTCACATCAACGGAAGTTGACTGCATGCAACGGCAAGCAGAACAGCGAATGCTTGGACAGCAAGCGTCAGCACGAATGTGCAGTGAGAAAGGCCGGTGAGATACGTACAAACACCAATGTCATGCACGAAACCGACCTAAGAGACACCGCTAAGAGATGCTATAGAAAAGGAAGGAGCACTAAGACTCTCATCACTGCTTCACATGCACAAGTCCGAATAAAGACACCGAAAAGAACCAGCAACAAGCAACCGGCAAATGGTGAACACAAAAAGGGCAGCAAAAGGCATCAATGCAAGCAGTGACGTGCAGCAGCAGAAGCAAGTTGCACAACAAGAGAGCAACAGAAGTCAAAAGAAAGCAACCAACACGTGGACGATGGTGACACACACACGGCGAAAATTCCGAGAAACGGATATGCCAGGCCGGCTGCAAAACATGAGCTATATAACCGCCCCTAAACCCTAAACCCTAAATCTTAAACTCTACACCTAAACCCCAAACCTTAAAACCTAAACCCTTTTTTGAACCCAGACTCTGCCAATCATAAACCTTAAACCCTAAAACGTAAAACCTTAAGTGAGCCTAAATCCCTCAAGGGCTCGCGTAGCCCAGGCCTCGGGGGCAAGATCCAGGCCTGCTGCATTCAAGAGCTCCTGGAAGGTGCCTGTCGCGTCCAGGGCCCTGAAGAATTAGAATAGGGGTTCCTTTTAGGGGTAACTTTAAACGGGTTCCTGTAAAAGGGTTCCTTTAAAAGATTCTATAAGGGCTACAATGATAGGGTTCTATATTAAAGGCCTTCAGAATTAGAATAGGGGCTTCTTTAAGGGTTGCTTTCAAAGGGTTCCTTTAAAAGGGTTACTTACTATAAAAGGTATTATAAGGATTCAATATAAAGGCCTTAATAATTAGAATAGGGTTTGGGGGTTCCTTTAAGGGGTTCCTGGCTCCTTAAAGGGTTCTAATAGGGCTACTATAAGGGCGTAGGGTTAAGGGGCCTGAAATAATTAGAATAGGGTTCCTTTAAGAGTTCCTTTAAAATGGTTACTATAAAGGTATTATAAGGATTCAATATAGGGGCCTTAATAATTAGAATAGGGTTCCTTTAAAGGGATCTTTGAAGGGTTCCATAAGGGATCCATGATAGGGTTCTATAATAGGGGCCGGGCTTAGGGTTAAGGGGCCTTAATAGTTAGAATAGGTTCCTTTAAAGGGATCCTTAAAGGGTTCTATACGAGGGGCCTTGATAATTAGAACAGGGTTCCTTTAACGGTAACGGCGTTACTAGAAAGGGCATTATAAGGATTCAATATAGGGGCCTTAATAAGTAGAATAGGGTTTTTGGGGGTATATTATACTATAACTATGATAAGGAACCCCCAAAGTGGTATTGGCAATTATTTGGCCCTCTGCATTCCACGAACCAGGTTTCGTTGCGTATTGAGAGCTCGCCACTTGACGCCTGCTCCGCGAGTCAGCTAGTCGATGCAAGCTCGGCTCGCCCTGCTACGGTTCATGAACCGGCTGCTCCATGCTGGCAAATTGGGAGTTTCCAAAAATAAGGGGTACCTTCTTTGGGGGTCCTTACAAAAAGGGTCCTACTATTTAGGGTACTATATTAGGGTCCCCTATTTTCGGAAACTCTCAAATCGAAATAAGCTACAACCCCCGACTTTGCAGGGTGGAAAATGACAGTCTTCAGCTGCCATGCATGCAAGCCGCAAAGAGAAACCGACCTTGCACTGCAATCAATCTGGAGGCCTTTGCAAGAAACGAGCCAAAGTAGTTCTCTAAATTAGGGTCCCTTTTTGGGTCCCCAATATAGTACGGCACCCTTATAAAAGGGACCCTAATTTAGAGAACTACCCACCTGTAACTCCGCCGAGACACTCAAACAGTATGTTCTGATGGTTCTCCTGCTGTCGTACATGGAGAGACGGGCAGGAAGGCAACTGCAACTCGCCCTCATCTTGTTCAAAATCCATGAAATCTCAACGTCAACGTGTCACACTCCAGTGAATCCGAGAGATTAAGAGGCAAGTCCTGCAAACCATCGGACCACCGAAGAGAACCTCAGCGGTGATAAGCACGAGAAAATGCTCCGCCCCTGCGAACAATGCCGATGCATTACGGCCATGATGTGAAAGATGGGAAGAACAACTTTTGCCAAGGGACGGCCCAGTTTCTGGCACCGTTTCGCTGCTTCTCCGCTGGGCCTCACAGTTCTTTTGATTCGAGCAGCCTGCGACTCAGAAAGCATGCGTCACACTAGGCCCAGGACGTGGTATCTACTTCGCCAAATATCTTCTGCTTCTTGCCACTGCGAATCCTCACAACAGACCACTTCGAGTCAGAGTGCAACACTCCCTCAGAGACATGCCTCATAGGCCGCAGCGTATCCGCTAGGTCCCACTGGCTCATCCTTGGTGACAGCTGCAGGCAGCGAGTCGAAAAAGCAACTTCGGGGCTGCCTTGCCGCTTTCTGCTCGAAGCAGTCCGATATTCGGGAGTCTGATTGGGACCTACATTGCACCAGGCACCTTTGGCCATGTGCAGGGTGATACAGTGACACCATGAAAGTACTATTCTCGTGCTGGGCTACAGGGCAAGTCCCTGCCCCTCTGCAAAGGATACGAGGGTACAGTACTCCGTCAGTGTCATGGCAATGGCTCAGACTCGATCACATCTGGGTCGTCGGGCCGCGGCTCCTCCTTTCTGAGAAAGGCATTTTTTTCGTTGGAATATGTATGAAGAAGCCCCGCCAGTGCAAATCGCAAGGTCTTCCTGAACCTGGACGACAACATGTCAGCTACTTGGTGTCGCATTTTCCAACAGATGCAACGGTAGTCGAAGCACCATGCATGTGATGCACTTTCTAGAATCTGGACGGCATGTACTGGCTTTGGAAGAAACCGTGGTATCAGCATGCCTCTGTAAATACAGCCTATTGCTTCAGATCGATGTTCTAGTTTTGAGACCGGTTTTTCGATGTTTCTCCTTGAAGGGACCTGTGCTTGCGGGCCTCTTAATTTGTGCATGACTTGTCTAACAAAGACAGCGGAGAGGACGCTCATGGCACGGAGGCACGTTGAATGAACAATCATTTCCTGCGTGCGGTCCCACTGCATAGGAAATACCTGGACCCCCAAAGTAGGTAGAATAATGGCCCAACACCTCTCAAAGGCTAGTATTCTACATACTTTTGGGGTCCAGGTAGAGAGAAAGAGCACGAAGCCTCCAGTGCCGCCGCCAAGCGTGCCACTCGGTTGGGCCAGCTTCTGAGGAGTTGCTCTGCCTTGCCACCTACCAGCATGTCGACTTCTTCGTGCTCATAACCCGAACTGTCTAGCAGCGATTCCCGACACGGTTCGGCTTACGGGCAAGTTACTGGCAAGTTTCGTGAGGATTCGTCGTCCTGCTTCCCTAGCCCTAGCGGCCCTGGCACGAAGCCTGCGTAGTCCAAGGCCTTTTTGCCCTCTCGGTCTTGAAGCTCCTGGCGCTGGGCATGTTGAAGGAAACTACAGGTGGCGAGTTTAGGGTATATAGGGCTTCTATAAGGCTTCTATAAGGTCTATAGACTCTAGACCTTCTATAAGGTTCCCATTACCGGAACTACCCACCTGAAAATGTCGTAGAGCATGTGCAAGCGGCAAGCTGAGCTAGGAAATGTCTCTTTATTCGCGCACTGCGGTCCAAGGCACAAGGTCAGATTGAGCTGCCAGCAGGAAGTCAAGCACCTGGCATTTCTACTACCTGGAGGTTCATGGGTAGTTCTAAATGGGGTTATAAGTAGGGTAACAATAATTATAACCCATATTAGGGGACTTATAACCATACTTATAACTACCCATGAACCTCCAAGTACCACTAGCTCGCGCTCCACAACACGTCACTTCAGGAGGCACTGAGGAACCTGCCGATGGCAAGTGAGATACGCCATTCACGTACTCCACCTTGGGGAGCCCAGGAATGTGACAACAAAATAACTAACTAGTTGTGATGCCTTTCCATAAAGGGCCAGGCCATTGGAGCAAAGTTGTGTCGTGCTCGCAAGGTCGCGTTCTTCTGCGTCGCCAAGATAAGGGCGGTCTTCCGATCTGCAGGGTGCTCTGCGAACGAACAACGAAATCAGCTGAATGGCACCCCCGGGGTTGTGCAAGGCCCCGACCCCGATTTTGCACGTTCACATCGGCACCATGATCCAGCAGCACCTTGCACCAGAAGATCACCATCAAGTATCATCATCGCACATGTCCGCATGCCCGGATTTTACACGTGCAGGAACATGCTCCACGGTGTTGGCAAGGAACCTGCACGGCATCCACATGATCGTCGGCTGCAGCAAACATAAGGGCCGTCATGCCACCTGCTCCCTGCGCGTGCGAAGTCTCAACTCATTTGAGCTTCATGTTACGTCATGATACGTCATGGCCGGACGATTTAGGACCCATCAGTTGCAGCCTTGGCATTGATGTCAGCTTGCCCTTCTAGCAGCACCCGTATAGTCTGAGCTGCCCCATTCCTGAAACAGGAGATGAGCACAACGCTGCTCAATGGCCCTTCTGGCGTCTTGCAGTGCATTCCAGGGCTCTTGGCTGCTAGCAGCAGCGCATTCATTCCGTGCCTTTTACAATGGAATGAGAGCTCATAGCATGCTGGTTTGTCCATCTTAGCCTGGATGGCTTGTTCAAGTCAAGATGCCTCGACTTTTCATCAGGGCTGGCCTGACCAGCTCAGACATGAAGGCTACTGTGGCTGGGATGGTGCTCTGGTACTTTGGCAGGAAAGCCAGTCGCTCCAGACGCCTGGTGCTTCAGCAACAGCCGGACTATGTCTCTTGCGCTGCTGTCGGCTGCAAACATCAGCGCCGAAACGCCATGGTTGCCTCACACAGCTGTGCTTCATCGGGTGGGCTTGGAACACGTTCCTGTAGCACCAGAAGCTGGGCCCCAAGCTCGTCAAATCCACAGCAGCTCTTCTTTCGAGCAAAAGTCGTACCTCATCTGGCAAGATTTCTGTCGAAATCTGTCGAAGCTTCGGGGAGGCTTGGTACAACCGTACACCTGTGTCTCCATCTTTCAGTTCGAGCTTCTATTTTCAGGTTGTCCCACTGCGCGGTCCACATGAGGCACGACTGACCAGACCTCATGGGCGCAGACATAGCTCAGCGACGTACTTCTTCCACCTCACGGCGCATTGTAACCAGACATCCCACCTGTCTTGCTGGTTCACATCCTCAGCATGAAGTTCTCTAAAAACAGTGCCACGCATTGCCTAGCCTTAGCCATTCAAGGTTGAATTTCATGGCCGCTGCTTGTGCCGAGGATCGGAGCTGACTTTCAGGAGCCTTTCTACTTCCGCCCAATCCCGAGTGCTCGCTGCCAAAACGAGCGCCATGGCGGGCTTTGTGTCCCTTCGATGTGTGTGTGCGTGTGACGATTGCTCAGCTGGTCTGGTATCTGCATGGAACGGTAGTCAGGCACCACACATTCAACCCCCCTCTGCATTGAGCTGCACTTCATCTTGGAAGCCCCAATGCTTAGAAAAGCTGTAAGTAATGTTTCGTCACGTCATGCTGGTACGGCAAGAGCCAGCGCTCTTTAGAATGGGCGGTGGGAACACGCATGTCTTGCTCCTGCACCAATCACAGAAAAATCTTTACTCACAAAATGGAAATCCAAGACAGCGCTTTGAGGCCGGCGCAGTCCGGGCCTTGCAAAAAAGCACGGTTTAAAACTGACCCTGTAGAACTGTCTACCTGGACCCCAAAAGTATGTAGAATAATAGCCTTTTAGGAGGTGTTGGGCCATTATTCTACGTACTCTTGGGGGTCCAGGTAGAGTCTAGACCGTCTGGCTCTCACACTTGGCAGCCTAGGTCTGCAGCTTCCCGACACTGCTTCCATCCAGATGCCGCCAAGGAGCAAAGCAGATTCCATCGGTTAGCGGCCTAGACACAGCACACAGGCAATGCTGAGGGGCACAACGTGGCAATCCTCCCGAAACCTGACTGCGAACAGAAACTTCACTCGTTGAGCTCGCCGCCTCAGCGGTGGTATGGGAATGATCCAATCAATTCCTGAAGATTGCTTGCGAAATGACATACAGCCCAAAATCTGCAAACGCGACTGAACCACGCATCCATGAAGCTCCCACGAGCTCTCCCACTCAGGTACATATGTTTCAAGTGCTGCAATTTGGCACACATTTTAACCACGAGGGCCGGCTTCCCTAACATGACACTCCAGTCCATCTTCTACGGGCAAAGAAGAGCTTGATTGCTGCCTCTCTTGCTGGGCGAGGGTGTCTCTTACTTCTGTGAGAACTTGTCCGAACAAGTTTTTGCCGCTTCCGTCGCCGCCGTCGCCCCACTCTGCATCAGCACAGTGCTCGACAAATACGGCCTCACCGGGGACGTCGTGCAACAATCGGCGCCGCAGCTCTTCGTGCTGGGAGAACTTTGCCAGCACAGCCGTCCTGAATATCTCTGCATCTCTGTGATCAAACAGGAAACACATCGAGACCCAATCGCTAGTCAGTCTGGACTAGAACTAAGCACGAAACATCATGACCGCAGGCCTCATGACCGAATATTTCACCTGCTCCCAGTCTGCTCTCAGTCGCCCAGAGCGGCCCAAGCGCTTTGCTTCGAAATTACTTTCGACAGAATCCGTAGGCAATGTTCGAATGCGTTCCATCAACTCCGGGCAGGTGGTCAAGAATTTCTGTGCCTGGAAATAATGCTCCGTGCTGGGCCAGCTGCGTCCATCGATCTGAATAGGGTAGCCAGCACAGCAAAGGTTGTCCAGCCACTGCAGCTCTGGAGTCTGGCCAGAGAAACGAATTACCCGAGTCGATGCAGGTTGTGGCTTCGTCGCCATGTGCAAGGCCCGGACCGAAACCACTCAACGCACTACTCTGGGATGAGCCTCATAGCCACGCAAGGACTTCCAGATCTTTAAGTCAGGATGTCCTTCGAGAATCCTTGTGGTCTGTGACTTGCGGTCGCTTGGTGTTGTCGAAAATGTTTCTGACAATCCTGATTTCCACCTGTCAGTCTGATTCGAAACCACTCCTGATCAAATTCTGATCATCGACCATTTCCCATGCTATCGATGAGTTTGACATTCAAGCACCAATCGACTCCCTCGAATCACCCGCATGGCAGCTGCAAAGCTTATGGTTCCTTGAAGATGTTACAGATGTTAGGGGAGTCATCGCCATTGAGTCATCAGTTTAAGTAACGAAGGGCAACTCTGCTCTTCCGGCGGTTCTGATGCCCACCTCGACGTAATGTGTGCTGCAGTAACACCCTCGAGCCGCTACATCAAAGTGTTGCGCAGGCAGCCGTAATTGACAATTGTCGTCCTGCCTCTCTGGTTCCTGCATCCTAAATGCCTCTCCTCATTGCTCCCTAGATAGTTACAGTTCAGTTGTGGCGGTGAGGTGTCTTGTCGTATATATTGATGCTCGCTCCATTCTGCATGACGTTGTTTTTCCATTCACTGTCTACCTGACTATCGGGCAATTTGTTTGCCTTCCACCTAGCTAGCACGGGAAATTTAGGTCAAATGATTGCCCTTTCCCGACACATGTGGCACTTGTCCGTGTTCTTTTCTTCGCGTTGCCCATCCGGAGAAGGCGTGAGTGGGTGGGGTGGAGGGGGTGGTCGAGGGGGCGGGGTGGCCACCTAAAACCATGTCTATTTGGCAGCTGGGGCCAAGCGGCTTTAATATGCAAGGACTAATGTCTCGGTATGGGCAGCATGCGCAGGCACTATGATGTATAGCTGTCTGACTCGCGGAGCTGTCGGCCGCGGGAGCACATCACGGCTCTTCAGGCCGTCAATCGCAAGCAGCGTCCCCTGCACCTTTTCCGGTGGTGACACTGTTCAAATCCCCATCGCAAGCCGTGTCCCCCTCATCTGTTCTGGTGATGATGCTCTTGGCATCCCGCATCGCGTGCCCACCTTGATCCACTAGAACACCCTGAATCATAGGGAGGCTCCCCTTTATCTTTTTTGGTGATGTTCTGGAAAACTCTTTTTCGCAAGGGCTGTCCTCTTCATCTCTATTGGTAGGGCCCCTCATCTTTTCTGGCGTTGGTCCTGTTATGTCCTGTTGGTCTCCTCAACATCTTCTGGCGTTGGCATGGAGTATTCCCCTCATCTCTTCACGCATCGATCCTTTTGTCGGGACTCGCTTCATGGAGTCACACCACTACCACTCTTAGCCAAAAATCGTTCCCATGTAATGTCGACGCTGGAAAAGCTACAAACACATCGCCTTTCACACCCCAGAGTAGCGAACGAACACCGCCGATCATCATCTTGAATGCCTTTCCCCCAAGGGCACACCGAAACGCAACTTTCCGCCGAAAGTCTGCCGCTGCCACAAACAAAACGCAACGACTTTAGCAAGTGAGAGTAATTTCAATAAATTAAATCCGGAGGCCTCCCCCAATACTTAAATTAAGTAATTGCGGTGGTTCAGGACCCCCGGGACACCCCTCGGTTCCAGCTGCCAAACAGACCAGGTTTAAGGTGCAAACGGGGGGGGCGGGGGTGGGTATACGACCATGTGACAAAAACCAACCCAAAACCCTGCTATTTTACTGCGTTCTTGCCTCTTTACACAACATGTTGTAGGAGGATGATTGATGTTCCGCAACACGCCGCGCTATCACAAGTGTTCATGACATGTGCGAACATGCCCAAAACCCTGCCATGTACAGCATTTTCTCATACAACATGCTGCAGGAGGATGTTCGATGTTCAGCCCTGTCCCAAGTGCTCATGCCATCTCATGCGGATCTCATGCCATTTTGCGAGCATGCCCAAAACCCTGATGTCTACAGCGTGTTTCCTCTTTTTCAATGTGCGTCTCACCGAATGCATCTACAGCTGGGTCTGCCGCTCGCACTTGGACCCAAAAGCGGACATCCCAGATTACTTGCAGGCAAAAAAGGCCAAGCATACTGCAAAAGCAGCTAAACGCCCGTGAATTAACAAGTGCCAAGCCGGGGAGGGAAAAGCAGCTTTGAGGCCGGCACCAGGACTCCCGAAAATCTGCGCCATGTTGGCCGGCCGGCTGCCCTGATCGAAGGGGTTAGGCCTGCGCTTGAAATCCCAACATTGAAGGAAGTTGACGAGATGATGCTACATCTGCGTCTGCTGAGTGCCCTGCATGTTGTCGTAGTTGGATTCAATCATTGTCACGTTGTCCAGTAGATTCGGTAACTGAGGGGCAAGGGGCGAGTTCACAGCTTAACGCGATCTGAGTATGAGGTGATTCATAAGCCGACACCTTGTTGGTACAGGTTGTCATGTTGTGGCCAGAATGAATTTAAATTGGTTTGCTGAGGCATTGAAAGCTCAGGCCCAAGCATGGGAGCAATTGAGGGGCACAAGCAGGGCGTTGGCCGCAATGACCACGCAACCCAAGAGGAGGAACTGGAAAACATAGGCATCATCTGGGCCTCAGGTGCTTGAACAAAATAAATAAATCAATAAAATTAAACAAATTAATATGTGTATGTATATAATATATATATATATAAAGCTGTGAGCCGGCCAGACCCAATCTAGAATCTAGAGTGCGGAGTACGGAGTATCCAAACAGAACTCTGTCTCAACGTCCTCTGTGCTGGTGAGCTGCCCGTGGCCTGCGGTGTCTACTCTGGTAGACGCTCTTTCACTGTTTGGGGTCCACACTGGCATGATGCAACGCTTGCACATGTCGCTAATCCCAAGAAAAGACGTTGCCTCTGCATATCGGTATGATGTCCAGTGGCTATCATTGTCTGACCTCCGCGAAACAAATAAACATCATCAAGCATCGATCGATCCAAGTCCACTGCATGCATGAACGCACATGCGGAGCATGGCAGAAGCATAGCTGCAGACCAGAACTGCCACTTGTCTTTGAAGTAGATCTTCAAAGGCAATCCTGAAAGGCTCCGACATCGGCAAGGGCTTGCAGCTTACTTGGGGGTTCATGGGTAGTTATAAATGGGGCTATAACTAGGGTAACTATACTTATAACCCACATTAGGGGACTTATAATCATACCTATAACTACCCATGAACCTCCAAGTACCCGCACACCGAGTTTCTGGCCTGAGTCTTCACCTATGTAGCAGAAGCCTTTGCAGGTCTTCCTCAGGCAAAGCAGGTCGAGTCGAGGGCGACCATGAAGCTGTTTTCTCCGGGCTCGGTGAACCAGCAGACTGCGTGATTCTGGGATTCATGCATCTCGGCACATTTCTCTTTGGCTTCATGGATAGTCATCATAGCTTCCTCGGGTGGCAATGAGCGAAAGCAGCTTCTCGGACCGCTATACGAACACTATCAGTCAAGTTTCCAGGACATTGTTGCCAGATTGAAGGTAACCTCTTATTTCGCAATCGAGTCGAGCAGGTCAGCAGCTCAAGTCAAGCTATGAGGTAACCACGGCCCGTACTTTAACATAGACATCATCTCTGGGCAAGGTGCCAGCGTGCTTGGTAAAGGCAGGCCCATACATGACGTCACTGTCCATGCGCAGGACCTATACGCAAAGCGATTGCATGCCAGACAGCCCCTCACGGCACGCTCCACATGCACCGAAGCCAAGCCCTGCTATGCAAAGTCTGAGCCCCAAGCAGACGAAAGGCAGGTTAGCAGATCGGGCAAAATGGTGCTCAGTGCAATGAAACTAGCCTCAGAATGCGTTCGGCAATTTCCTCCGAGCTCCGACATGAGAGCAGCAGCTCGTATCAGAAGCCAAGACAGGCCAAGCAGCCAGTCCAGCGTAGATACCTCAGTGCCCCGTTGCACACTCGCACTCCCCTTCATGCTGTCAAAGGCACTGGAAGGTTCTACCACACATTTTCACACACCTGGATAATAAAAAATCATAGCAAAGCTGCCTAAGAGAGTGAAATATTTGTGGTTGTACATGCCAACACCTTAGCGGGCGAGAAGACTTGGACTGCAGCACACATACTGGCGCATCACTTGCCCCCGAACCATCAGGCTCTCGACACGTCTTTGCTTGTGTTTCGTGCCAAGCAGCAGTTATTTATCCATGGGCAGTGGTGGTCCATTCGCCTCGAGGGAGGGCAGCCAAGGTGAAAGGAGTCTCACACCGGTGGTGCTACACAAGGCGAGCAAGCACGGCGGCCCAGTTGCAAGATGCATCGCCGGCAGAAATGGCAGTGGTGTGCCCTCTCAGGCCGGATGATGTTGCATTTCTTGCACCTCGTGGCCTGCAACACAAAATCTGAAAGAAGAGGGAGAAGAACAGCTCTTCCAGTCGAGGTGATGCGATATTAGGGTAGTTGTCAAAATTATGGTCCCTTTTGGGGTACCCTAAATAATAGGTGCCGTATTATAAAAAGGACCCAAAAAGGGACCATAATTTTGACAACCACCCATATCGGGCTGAAGCCTTGCTTGGCTGCCACTCGGGTCTGGGATTGGCCACAGGCAGCTGCTTTTCAACTTGCCCGACGAAGCTTAACCAACGTTCCTGGCCGGGCAGAGGGACAGAACTCTGCTGCATTGCGCCGGGGTCCAAGCATGGCGGCTTCGATTTGAGTCCAAGGCACCGGAACAAAGCCAGGATCTGCCATGGCCGCGGCAACATAGCTGAGAAGTCCCAGAATGTAGAACAAATTAAACCTCAGCTCCCGTCAGCTTCAGTGTGGTGCATCGGGTTCGGGAGTTGCGCTTGGTAAGCTTCCCGAACATCATCTCAGCTCTTGACATCACGGCGAAAGGGAGGACGAGGCTCTCCTTTCCAGCTTCTAGAAGTATCCTGCAACGAGAAGATGCCATTGGCAGGTCAGGGACTCAACTGAAGAAACGGCCTTGAAAGAAAGATTGCGTTGTAGGCGTATCCTCCCTGGGCCAGTGCTGTCTGCCGTCTTCTTCTTCTTCTTGCTGCCGTTTCCACGTGCACTTCCGGAGAGCAGTGCTGCCAAGTTGCATAGACGAACAAGATAACTGCAAAGCTCTTGGTCAAAAGGATGATCAAATGAGCAACCTCGACCATGGCTTCTTTCAGTCTTTGTGCAAGTAGCCACGCAGGAATAAGGCGGTGGCATCCAGAGAGCCAGATGTATCTGGGGATGCTTCGTTTGCATACCTGGTATCCTGCAGAAGAAAACTTCCTAGCAACACTACTGTCTGGTGCTTAGCAGGGAATGGGGGAATGGGTTATAGGGACTACTATAAGGGACCTTAAGGGACTATCATAGGGATCCATTCCCCCCATTCCCTACTAAGCACCAGACAGACTGCGACTGACTGAAACGGTTTAGGGTTTAGGGTTTAGGGTTTAGGGTTTAGGGTCGAAACCAGCCAAGCCTGCCATGTCTCTCTGGCTGGCGAAGCAGCAACCTTCATCTGCCAGTTCGGGACCGGGCTCTCCAGAGGGCCCAATACCCCTTAAGTAAGGAATATGGCTTAAACTATAAGGGGCTTCATATTATGATTTAGGCTATATTCCTTAAGTAAGGAATATGGCTTGTAAATTATAAGGGGCTTCATAGTATGATTTAGGCTATATATTCCTTAATTAAGGGGTATAAGGGGCTTCATATAATGATTTGGGCTATATTCCTTAATTAAGGGGTATTGGGCTCTCTGGGTCCGACAGTCAAGGATTGATGTGCCACACAATCAGCGGAACATGGGTGCATCGTCGCGACAAGACTCATCGCAAACCTCGCTCCAAGAAGTCACTGCCGCTGCCTGGCCTTGGACATATGGGACTCGAGCACCTATGTCCCTCTCGCTTTGCCCAGCTAGCTGGATGGCCACAACAGTAATCGCGAAGTGGATTGTGCTTGCTATGACGAGCTAGATGATTTCAACGAGCTGAAGGAGTGGATTGCTGCATTGATGCCCGTTTGAGCCGACTACGCATGGGCTGGACCAATCTTGCAGCGCAGTCCAACGGAATAATGCACAGCACCAAGTGCCAGTATCCAGCATGCGGCACGACACAGCCTGAATCGCCCAGACAGCTGGCATCAACAAGCCACCTGCCAAGAGCTAGTGGCTGCTCTGACGCCCCTGTCCTTGTCTGCAACGCAAGGGCCTCTCTCTGCCTACCTCTGCTTGTCAGGCTGCCGGCCTGCGATGGCCTGTGACAGCCTCTGTGTGTGTGTGTGGGTAGTTGTCAAAATTATGGTCCCTTTTGGGGTACCCTAAATAATAGGTGCCGTATTATAACAAGGACCCAAAAAGGGACCATAATTTTGACAACCACCCATGTGTGTGTGTGTGCGCGTACCTGCCTAGCACATTGAAGCATGGGGTCAGACCCACATCCTTCGTCTGGTCCAGTCAGGCCGATTTCCTTTTACTGTATCTGTTTTGCAACGGGGCAGCCGCCCTCAAGGAAACAGTGTCCGACGAGGCTATGCTTGAAGGTGGATGTGCGACCTGACCCATCAATCTGGGTCCCTGAGTCAGCAAGACTAGAAAAGCCAGGCCTTTGAGCTGGCGAAGTTAGACACTACATGTTTGCCCCCGCCTCATCAAAGCTGTTGGGTGTGTGTGTGTGGGTGTGTGCCCAGCGTATGGGCCCTAGGGTACAGTGTCCTTCTCTGCTTTCTCCGTGTGCATCTCTGCCAGTCTGCGTGCGCTCGCGCTCTGCTACAACTCCGAAACTGTCTCTGTCTGTGCTCCTGTGTCTAGGAGGCTGCGTCTTTGCACTCCAAGTCAGTGAGAAGCAACTTTCAAGGGGTATTGAATGGTATTGAATCATCAACTCTGTCTCGTGGACTTTGAATGAACATGGAATCGCCTCTGAAACTCTCATGTCTCCCTGGCTTGAAGCCTGGCAGAGGCGGATGCGATGTCGCCTAGGTGGAGCAATAGACCACACTGAGCTTGACACTTTTCCGCTCTCCGTCGACATGCTGCCATGTCACTGATGCGTATACGAAGCCAAGTCCCAGCATTGAGGCCTGCATCTACAAAGTTCTGGCCATGGGAACAGGGAGGAAGAGTTTCAGCGTATCTGGGTCTGCGATGAATTCCGGCCTAGGAAGAAATCGGTTACCCGAGCCAGCAGCACGACCTCAAGCCGGCTTCATTGCAAATTTTCGGGGGTTCCGGATGGCCCTCAGCATATCTGCGTATGCATTCAGAGTCATGTAGCTGGAATCTAGCCGACAGGTGCTTGGACGAAAGGTGGTTACCTTTCCTTCTTGCCGCCCTTTATCTATTCGCTTGTTTCCTACACGACTTCGGCATCCAGAAAAACCATGAGAGGCTCTGCACGAGAGTTGCCAGGAACGCAGGGTCCACCACCTTGTTCATTTCGGCCCTTCCAACTTTCATTCCACCGCCACTCAGGGACTAGCATCAACGATCTTTTCGTCTGACAGCCAGCCTCGGCAAGAGACGAGAAGGCATGACAAAAATTGGAGGGCTCTTCACATCACAGACAAGTGCTAGGCTAGACTTTAGACTTGAGACTCTAGACAAGATGACTGCGACAAGGACTCCTGAAGCGCTATCGCTCCAACCCGCTGAAGGCTAGCTTGCTGGCATGTGCCCCCTGCAGCACGCGCCTCGGAGGGCTGCATCATGGAGAAAAGTCACATGTCCTGCTTGGAGGCTCATGGGTACTTATAAGTATGGTTATAAGTCCCCTAATATGGGTTATAATTATAGTTACCCTACTTATAACCCCATTTATAAAGAGTCACTTGGAGGCTCATGGGTAGTTATAAATGGGGTTATAAGTAGGGTAACTATAAGTATAACTCATATTAGGGGACTTATAACCATAGTTATAACTACCCATGAACCTCCAAGTACTGCAGTGTTACTGAAACGAAGCAGATCTGCTTCTCAAGCGGCCTGTTTAAACCTTGATGCTGTAATGAACTAGGTAACTAGAGGGGTAAACGGACACCGGGGCAAAGTCAACGCGGTGCCCCCGGTGATCATCAAGAACCTTTTGTTGCGGGGTGCAGGGGGTCCTTCCGCATCGTCTGCCAGCCCAAGGGGCCTGGACGCTGGAGCACGAGGATAGAAATGCAAGATCGTGTTGAAGGCTCGATCAATTGTCAGGAGCTGGGCCTTGCCATCACCAGACATTCTGCAAGTCCGATGCGAGAACGACCTGCGCGGTCGAGGCCTTGTCGCCCCGGCCTGCAGGCACAAGAGCCGTGATAGTTCAGCTCTGACCGAGTGGCTCTGTGTCTGGGATTCTGGCACGCCAGCTACAGCTGGCAGGAAGCCGGTCCCTCTACCTTCCAAGTGCTGCGGCTTATTGAAAAGACTTTTG